GAGGCCCTCGGAGCATCCCAGCTGCAGTGGTGCCTTCTGCGGGAGAGGGGCGGGGTCAGAGCGAGGTCTTGCCCCCCGACCCTCCAGCGCCCAGGTAACTGTGGTCTCCTGGCCTCGCTCTCCTCCAAGTGGGGCGTCCAGGGTGGGACCAGACCGGGAGAGGGGCTTACCCTTATGCATGCCATTTGCTGCTCCTTCCTGGCCTGGGTGCGGCGTTGGGCCTGCTCCCTGGGTGGGAATCCATGTAGTCAGTGCCACATGCATCACCCCCCTCAGCCTGGCACCACCTGGCCTGGTGCAGTGGAACTGGGGAGGGGTCACGGATTGGTCCACCCCATCCTGACCAAGACAGCTTCCTCTGCCTGGGCTCAGGGTGCCCCCCAGTCCCTCCATCCACATCACCCCATAATCTCCAGCTGGATGTCCTCCATCTGGTCCAGCACACCCCGGATGTCCTTCTTGAGGTTCTGGAGGGCAGAGAAGGTAAAGCAGGTGCACCATCTCCACTGCCCTGCCCCTCCCCTGCCCCTCACCACCCCGCCCAGTCTCTGCCCTCCCCTCCTCTGGGTGTCACCCTTTGGGGACCTACCAGGAGCCCGGTGGCCTGGTTGTTCAGGGCCATATGCACCTCGGCCACGCCATCCCACACCTGGTGGGAGGGGGGAGACTGGGTCACGCCCCAAGGAGCAGGACCCGAAATGAAAGTACCTCAGCAGGTGGGACCCCGGCGCCCCTCCCACCCTGCAGGTGGGCACCTCGGTGATGGCCATCTTCTTCCTCTCAAAGGACAGTCGGATCTGCTGCAGCTCGTTCTGGGGGTGCACAGTGTGGGCACAGGCAGGGCCAGCAGGTGGTCAGCACCTCCCTCCCCGCCCACCTGGCCTGGCTCCTAGGGCTCACCTGGGACTGCTGCACGAAAGACTCTTCTCCCCGGCATAGCTCCTGCTGCAGCAGCTGCAAAGGGGCCCTGTTCTCTGGGGGCCGGGCGCTGGCCAGCTCAGGGGGCTGCAGAGGCGCCCCTGGGTCAGCCCCAAGGCCATCAGCAGCATTCATGGTCATAGACTGCTTGGAAGTGGGAGTGGGGGTGTAGTGCATGGAGTCACAGGGTCACTGCTGGCAGCCACCTGTGGTCCCACCGGGGCCAGGCCCCCACCACACACTTACCCAGGCCAGGGCCGTGCAGCTGGAGTGCTCCCGGCACAGGGGTAGGAACTGCTGACCTGGCCCCAGGAGGGCCCCAAGCTGCTCCCGAAGGTCCTGGTTCTGCCTTTTCTGTGGGTGGGGGCAGAGAGATGGGACCACCTGGCACAGCTGCCTTTCAGGTGGGAGGCTGAGGCATAGGGGCCAGGGGCAGAGGGGAGAGGGCGTGGCCTGGCAGGGCTGGGAGCAGCTGAGAGCTGGGCCCCAGCCAGGTGCTGAGCGCATGCTGGCCCTGTAGCTGCAGCGGGCACCACACTCACCAGATTCTGGTTCTCCTGCTCCAGCTGGAGAAAGGACTGCTCTGCAGGCCCCAGAGGCATGCTCTGGAGCTGGGAGGAGGCTGCCCTGGGCGAGGCCGGGGCACCTGACCCCGGCGGCAGGGGTGGGCACGGGCAGGGTCTGGGCCCTGAGCTGGGCCCTGCCCCCTGCCTGGATGTCCCCTGCTCCCGGCCCAAGTGCAGCGGCCAGCCCCACCCCAGCCCGGTGTCTACACAACCCTGTCTCGGCCCTGCTGGGTCTCTCGGCCTCTGCCGCTGCCTCTCTCCCTCTTCGCTTGGGATATAGCTCCCAGGTACCTCACCAGCCACCCTGGGTCCCCCCCCCGCCCTGGGGCTGGGAAAGACCTGGCTGACTCCATCGAGTGGGTGGAGCTGAGAGGCACCAGGCAGGGCCACCTTACAAAGCCCTGGCAAGGTGGGTCCAGGCATCCTCCATGGCTGCTCGAAGCTGGGGGTTGGGGGCACTGGGGGTGGGAGTGGCCACAGGGTCCCAGGGTTTTTTGGCCCCTCCATACCTCCTCCCTGTGACCCCTTCCTGAGCCCAGGTCCAGGCTTTGGCCTGGCCCGACCTGCCACCCTCTTACTGAGGGCCCTCTGGGTGTCATGGCTCACAGGTACCTCAGGGGACCTGTCACAAAGGCCTGGGCATGGCCAGGGAGGTCATAATGGGCTGGGGTTGTGGCCAGAGCCAGGGCTGGCAGGGCCCCTCCCACCAGGTCCCTGCTCCTGAAGCGGCCCCAGCTGTCAGCCCTCTGCGTCTTCCTTACCACACCCGCCTCAGCCGGTCACTCAGACACGTGGTGAGAACAGAATCAGTCAACAGACAAGGTGTCCAGTGTGACCCCACGCCCGTGCCCCTGAGTGCAGCCATGCTGACCTTTCATCCCGCACAGCCAAGTCTCACGGCCTCACTCCTCACACAGGGGGCGCCCTACAGCCTAGCTTTTTACCTAACATATCTCCAAGGTTCTAAAAATCATTTATTAAACATTTCAGTCCTGCAAGGACAGTTACTAGCCTCTCTTTACAGGTGGGGGAACTGAGGCAGGAAGACACTGAGTCCTGTGCCCAAGGCCACCTGCTGTTCAGTGCCGGGGAGGGGTGTGTGTGGGGGAGTGGGGGGACCAGAGTCTCCTCCTCAGAGTATTATTTTAACAACTGCAGAGGGCGTCCAGGGGTGGAGCCCGAGGCAGGCCCCTGGACGGTCTCTCCTCCCTTCTTTCCAGCATCTGTCATGCGGTCTGTCCCATTGCACCCCTGCTCGGAGCCCCTACCTCTCTGCCCCTTTCTCAGCTCCCTCCCTTGTCCTGCGGGTGCACCCTTAAGCAGAAAGATGGATTAGAGGAAGCTTGATCACCTCCCTCCTGTCCCTTTGTCCTTGCCCCTCTGCAACAGCCGGGGTCCCTCTATTCACCCTGGACTCCAGGCCAGGCTGGGGGCTGGCTTGGGCCAGTGGGCTGTTACCAACGTGTGGGCAGCAGAGATCTGAACAATGCTTTTGTGTTGGGCCTTGGCTCTCTTGGTGCTCAGGGGACCCTCTGCAGAGGGCAGAGGGAGGGCACGACCTTGCTATGGGATGCGAGGTCACAGGGAGGGCGGCTCTTGTCACTCAGCTGGTCCCCAGCTGCCTCTAGCAGGGTTGACAAGCCCAGTGAGATGGCAGGGACTCACCCACAGAGCCGGCCAAGTCGCCGATGCCTGGTTGACCGGCACTGGTTTTAGACTCCGAGTTTCTCAGAGGTCTATCCCTCGGGTCTAGATCATGAGCTACCTCGAAAGTCTGAAGGCATCTTACTGAGACCTCACGCCTGCTGGGTGTGAGGCTGGGCCGTCAGCTCAGAGGGCGCCTCCCGCAGAGGCTGAGGCGCCCTGGTCGTTGGCGCTGCCGCCCAGGCCCTGCTGCAGCCACACTTTAACAGTTCTAGACTTCTCTGCCTGCCGTTCTTTGAGAACCCCTCTTCTTTTTCAGAGCTTCCTGTTCTGTTTTAGGGATAAAGTGGACTTTGAGGGGAGGGGAGCTTTCGATTCCTGCGCTTTCATTGTGGTTCTTTTCTTCTGTCTGGTCTGAAACCTTCCTATCAGGCCCTGCCGTCAAGTGTCTGGTTTCCTACTCCTGTGCGCAGGTAGACGGGGTGGAGCTGGGCTGTTTTTCTCCCTGTTAGGAGCTGGAGTGTCCCAAAGTCAATCCCCTGAAGGAAGGCCTCCTGCCTCTGGGCAGGTGTCTGGAGAGGGGGACAGCTCAGGGAGTTTGCTTGGGCAGTCCCGGTGTCACCTGCTGTCCCTCATGCATACTGGATGGCCATCCCAAGCCATCCCCTAGCCAGCCTGGTTTAGGGGCCCTGCCTCATCCACACTCAGGGGGCCAAGTCAGCCCCCACTTCCCATCCGAAGAAGTTTGTCAGCATCCCTCGTCTGCAGGTGGCCTCGCTCCTGTCCTCTTTATGGGACAGATACTCTGTAGGCATTGCCTCAGGGGGCTCACCAACAGAGCAGGGGGCACACACAGTCCACAGTGTGTGTCCAGCTGGGCACACGTGGCCCCGGCCCCAGGAGGCCCCTCTGTTTCTAGGGTGGGGGTGCATCTGTGCAGCCTTAACGACAGGCTGTGGCTGGGGATGGGCTGGGAAGGACCGACCTAGGGCCCTACCCAGGCTCAGTGGGCCCCTGTGCGCTCCCCCAAACTGTTCAGCCGGCTGGGGGTCTGCTCAGCCACCAGGGAGGAGGGAGCCTCCAGGGTGTGCTCAGCTCAGGGCACTCTTCTGGGAGCAACTCGAGATGGGGACTAAGAAAGGCTTCCTGAGTGGAGTGGGGTTTGGTGGGGGCAGTGTCCTGTCAGGTGCCAGCAGGTGCCCAGGAATGTTAAGTGGGGAGAGAGAAGACTCCACCTGTAATAAAGGCAGTGACAGCCCTAAGACAGGGACCGCTGGCCTCAAGTCTCACCTGGGCACCAGGCTGGGTGCGGGAGGAGGCACTCGGGGCACCCGGTGACGCAGGAGCTCCGGCCTGTCCGCCAGAGCCTTACCGCCCACCGTCCCGGCCTGGAACCCCAGGCTCCCAGATGCAACCTTGACCCTGGCTGTGCCCCGTCTGGTAGGCTGCTGGTGGCTCAAAGCCGGGCCCTGAGATCCCAACCCTCTGAAACCTTCCTCACCCCCATCCTGTGGTCCTTGTGACGTGGCCCTGAGCTTGAGAATGCCCCAGGGGGTGGGGGCTTTCAGAGGGATCCCCAGCTGTGCTGACATCTCCACGAATAGGGACAGGAACGCTAATGTGTGTGAAGCGCCCTGTAAATCCGTGTCCTGATCGGAGAGGGGGTCTGCATCGAGTCTGGGCTCCAGGATGTCATGTAGGGGCGGGTGTGAGTCTGCACCACCCAATTTCTTGGCCACAGGAGTAAGCGTGGCTTGAGCGCATCGTGAGGTGCGCCAGGCCACGGCCCCCTTGTTGCCAGGCAGCACGCACCTCCCTGGATGCTAGTTGCCATGGCAGCCGCTTCCTGCTCATGTTGCCATGACGCCCGATGGCCTCAGGGAGCCTGGAGCCTGTGAGGAGAAGGGTTGGACTGCGGAGAGAGAGGAGGTGCCCTCCATCCTTCCCTGAGCAGCCTGGTGCTCCTGCCAGGACTCACTGTGGCCCCACACAGACCTTGTGCAGATGGAACTTGGGGTCCCAGGACCAGCCATAGACCCCTGGGAAGAGCCCCATCTCTGTGCCTCCTCACCTGGGCTCCTGGCCCAGACCTGCCTCCTCCAGCCCTTGGAGCCACCATGAATGTCCCTCAGGTGCTGCAGGGGTCCTGGAGCAGCCCCAGGCTGCTCCCTAGGGTTCATATCACTCTAGACCTCACTTCCTCCCAGGGCCTGGGGCTGTGAGCTCTCCTGTGCTCTGAGTGTAACAGACACAGTGGCCTGGGGCTGGGGTCCAGGGGCCTCTGAGGGTGGTCTTGTGCCCTCCTGGGGCACAAGGAGGTGGCTAGCTTATAGCCAGGAGGACACGTCCACTGGGTGTGGCTGTGTGAGGGAGGGGTGGCCTGGGGAGTGACAGCCCCCCAGGGCCAGAGGGCAGGCACATCCCAGATGAGTGGAGCAGCCCTGCGGGATGGAGACAGGCTGGGATGGGCCCTGGGGACTGGGTGCAGGTGAAGGTCAGAGGAGGCACTGGGGGCAGGGCCCATGAGGTACTTCCTCCGTGGTTCTATTTTAGAGGAGGAGGCTCGGAGTAGGGGCCTGCCCCCGTGTCCTCCCCGCCCCCTGTGTGACCGAGCAGCTCCCAGAGCTGGGGCCTGCCATTTGTCTCCCCTTCCTGCGTGACTCTCTGGACAGCCGCTGCTCACATGTTTTATTTAAGAATCAGAAGAGATAATAAGAATGTCAAGGAAAATACTCTCAATATATTACTGTTAGCCGTGGTGTTGAGAGCTCCAGGCTGGGGAGGTGGCCACGCTGGGACTTCCAGGGCCCCTGTACCCCGGGGGTGGTGAACTGGATGCACCTACCTCTGCCTGAGCCCAGAAACCACCCCCAGAGGATCCCACCCAACTGAGCTCACCCTCTTCTCAACACCCCCATGACCATCTGCTCCTGCCAGCCAGAAAAAGGTGCCTGGGGAGCCAGCATGGCCAGAGCGCCTGATGGCCAACACCAGGGTCACCTCACCAGGTCCTTACAGGGCCAGAAGCCAGGACATCTGCCCACCCGTCTCTCCACCCTCTGCCCTCAGCCAGATCTTGCTGGGAGTGGGCAGTGCTGGGCCATGAGCCCCTGGGGCCCATCCCTGAGTCTGGGAAATGGGCCCAAAGGGGCTGAATGAGACCAATGGCCAGGTAAGGGACGGAGACCTTGGTGCTGGGCTCTCCCTCCCTCTGAAGGACACCCCATCCTCTCCTGGCTGGCCAGGTGTGGGTCCCAGAATCCACCACCAGATGGCGCCACAATGTTGCAGACTGTCGGCTGGCTTTAGGGGATCCCAGCCCAGGGCAGGAGGACAATCCTGGGCCTGGGAGGAGTCAGGGGTGGTTCCACCCAGGCCTAAGCTTCTGGCAGTGCTAGGGGAGAAACCCCTCCCCACCTGGATATGCGGTGCCATGGGGGTCTGAACGCCCCTTGCCAGTTCTACCCCACTGTTCACACTGAACAAATTACCCTGCGGCCCACCCCCACTCCTCAGAGCCCCTTGCCTGCTCCCTCCCCAGAGGCTGGGCTCCCCCAGTGTGGGACCCTCCCTCTCAGGACCCTCCCAGCAGCCCTGGCTGGTGAGACGGGGCCCAGGTTCCCAGCAGTGGGACCGTGGCTAGAATGTAGCTTGGGTGCTGAGAGCTTAGAGCCCGTCTGCGTCTGCAGGAGGCAGGCTGGGTGTCCAGGACCCTCAGGGGGCCAGCATGGGGGTCAAGACAGTGGTTGCCTGCAGGGTCTCCAAGGTGCAAACCACAGGTACAGGCTGTGCAAGAGGAACGGGAAGAAGGCCGAGGGGCGGGGGTGCCCGGCCCCCAAGGAGCAGTAGCGGTGGCGTAGGGTCGGGGGCTTGGGGGCTCTGTGCCCAGAGACGCCGCCTGCACCTTGGCCCGGGGCAGAGGGCTGGCCGGGCAGCAGGGCACGGCCACTTCTGGGAGTGATCACACGGTCCTGGCACAGAGGACGCACTCTGAACCCCTCTCTGCACCTCCATGCTCCATCATCCTGTCACAGCAGCATCAAGGGTACACACTGGTGGGGGGTGGGGCCTGGGGGCTCCCGGACTTGGGTGGGACTGGACCCCAAGACCCCCTGGGGGGCCCAACCCTGACTGAGGCCCTCGGGCCCTTGGAGCCAGGTCGGAGGTCGGGGCTCTGTCCTGGCGAGATGGGGTTTTGGGGTGTGGGGCTGATTACTGGGGTGGTGAGGGTGGCTGTCTGGGCTCTGGGAGTGGGCCTGGTCTGGATGTGGCTGGGCCTGAGAGTGGGAAGTGGGCAGGGCCTGGGGGCTCCTGGTTTGGGGAATGGGGCTGCAAGCTGGAGAAGGTAGAGGGCACAGGCTCTCTAAACCCTGGACCTGTGGGACTTGAGCCTGGCCTTGTCCCCCGGCGGACCATCCCTTTAGCAATTCCGGTCCCCTCTGGGCTCCTCCAGGGAGCTGAGCTTCAGGGGAAGGCTGGGCCTCTGGAGCCAGCATCCCAGGCCCCTGGTGACCCCAGCTGGTTGCCCTTGGCATGCATCCTCCCAGACACTCACGATGGGAAGCTGATTCTGCCCCTCCCCTCCCCAGGGCTCAGAGACTAGCACCCACCCACTGCTTTCTCACATGAATACTCTCACTATTAGGCCCTTTGTTTGCAGTTGTGTCTGCTGAGCGCAGCTGCAAACACTTGGAGCAAACTCAGTCCATAGCCTGGGTGGTTCAGCTTCTCCACCACCCAGAAGCCCACCCACCCAGCCCACAGGAGCCACGTTACCTCACCCAGCAGCTACCTGTGACCACCAAATCCACCAGATAACCAGCTCACAAACTTACTGACCATTCAAATTCCGGTCACCTACTCCCGCCACTGACCTTGAGATTCCCTGGGACCCCTGGGTGCCCAGCCCAGTTGAGTGGATAGTCAGCTCCTGGGGTCAGCTTTGGTCAACAGGATGAGGCAGGTGGGTAACACCCGCTTCTCTCCAGGACTGCTCACTGTTGCCCCTCCCTCCCTCTGCCCCCACCAACTGTCCACAGCATCCCAGCAAAGGAGCCCACCGTCCACCTGCCTCTCGAGCCGACCGCTGCCCACCCAGGACTGTGTGGTAGAGCCGCAGACGCCCCCTGGGAGGCAGTGCGAGGCATCCTTCTTAAGAAGGCCTGCATCAGTGGTAAAGGGCAGGACCACACCTCGGTGATGCTCTGTGAGCCGCTTGCCCTGCAGGGAGGTGGTTAATCCATCTCAGGAACTGGGCGCAAGGTATAAAAATGGTGATTTCTTGGAGATTCAATTACATGTTTTCACTGTTACCCTTGGTAATCAAGGAAAGGATTTTTAAAGAAAGCCTTGTAGGGTGAGACAAATCTGGCGGGAGGAGCGGGTTGGCGGTGGTTTGAGATCAGGAGAAGCACAGTGTCTGCAGTGGGGCTGAGTGGCCTGGTCTCAGTCTTCCACCTTACGTGGGCTCGTCTGGGGCCCTGCCGGCCTGATGACGAGATGACCTGACCCCGGGGCCTCCTAGCGCCCGGGCTGGGCCCCGTCCGTCTCCTGGGGCCCCCATGGGGACAGAAGTGTATCCTTGTAGGGCTTGGACCTAATTCTCCCCGTGTTGTGTCTTGTCTCTAAAGAACAGCCCCAGGATGAATGGTGCTGGCAGCCGACAGCCTGGGTGACTGGAAAGGGTTTTATGGCCCCGCAGGTGAAATTGAACTTGCTTCTGACGTGTATTTCCGAGATGGGATTTTCCTACCTGGCAAAAGTGGCAAATTTCACTGTAATTACAGTGCGTCTCGTTCCCTTCCTCAGCCATACCGCCTGGGGTCAGGGCTGGGGTCACCGCCAGGCCCCTAATCTCCGCAGACTCTGGCACTGCTTCTGGGGAGGTGACCTCATCCTGCTAGGGGCCAAGGATGGAAGGTGAGGCCAGCCCTGCTGGTCCCCCAGGGAGGGCTGGAAGGAGGCCCCAGCCTGGGAGGGAGTGGTCTGGGCTCCCTCCCACCCAGCCCGTGAGGCGGCCCCACCTGCCAGTCATGGTCCTGACCAGAAGGGGTGGTGCCCAGAATCCTGAAAAGGGCTTTTCCCAGAGTAATCACAGTCACTTTCCATTCACTTGTGGTAAATACTAGGCTGTTTTTCCCCTTTCCAATAATTGAACTTATTTATTTTTAACTAAGATTAAATGTTCTCTGTGAGCGCAAGATATACCACTGTCCTGTCAGGCCTGGTCAAGGCTCTCTTTCCCGCTGCATCCTGGGGACCAGCCCACCAGGCAGGGAAGGGGCTGGCAGCTGGGGTGGGGATGGTGGGCCAAGACTTTGGGAAACTCTGGGTCCTGAAGAATCAGTCTTCATCATCACTGCTGTCACCTTGATCCTACCACCATCACCATCACCACCTCCACCATCATCACCACCTCCCCCATCATCACCACCACTATCACCTTTACCACCATCACCTCTGCTACCTCCACCTCCACCATCACCTCTACCACCATCACCACCTCCATCTATACCACCACCACCACTGTGACCACCTCCACCGTCACCACCTCCACCATCACCACCACCACTGTCACCATCTCTACCACCATCACCTCTGCTACCACCACCGCCACTGTCACCACCTCTACCATCACCACCACCATCACCACCTCTACCACCATCACCTCTGCTACCTCCACCTCCACCATCACCTCCACCACCATCATCACCATCACCTCCACCACCATCACCACTATCACCATCACCACCTCCATCTATACCACCACCACCAGCAACTCCCCCACTGCTGTCACCTGCACCGTCACCACCATGACCACGTATACCACCATCATGTATAACATCTACATCACCACCACTCTCACTACGGTCACTGTGCCTGTGCCATCAGCACCACTGTCCCAGCATCATGTTGAGAAGCCCACCATGGTTCAAGCCACCATCACTTGGCACTAATTACTCCAGAAAAGGAGCCTCCATACTGCTCTGATCACACCCTACGGGAGGTTGGACATGGCCATTTGTGGGGGACATAGTGTGGAGGCTCAGGCAGGTCATGAAGGGCATGGGCCCTTGAAGGTCCACAGCTCAAGGCACTCCCAGTGTCCCCACCTGTCTCAACACTGACCCAAGCTCTGCCTTTGACTGTGCTTGGGCAGAGGAACCCCTGGTCCTTCTGTCCTCCACACCCATATCATACAGGCTGGCCTCCCCAGAGCTAGGAGTGCCTGGGTGAAGGCCCAGCTGTCCTCCCCTTCAGACCCGGCCGGTGCTCGGGGAGCACAGGGGCTGGGTGCTCAGCAGGAGCCGTCGGAGCCGGCCATGGGGCCAGGCAGCAGGAGCTGGGTGTGCCCACCTGTGGGATGGGTTGACTTGAGGCCCACTGTGCAGCAGGCCGTGAGGACAGAGTTGGGGGACGGCTATGGACCAGTGTCAGTGGGTAGCCTTAACCTGTCACCTCGCTGAGGAAAGTGAGAAGTGAGGGGGAGCTAGGTTCTAGGTCACTGGTATCACATAACGTTACACCGAGGTGACAGCTGTGTCCCCCTCACAGCCCCAGCCCCGGCCAGCCGGCAGCACCACCGTCCTGTCCTCACAGCAGCTGGGCCACCAGGGAGTGGCTCCTGGAGGCTCCCCCTGTGTCTGCTGGTCATGCGGCTGAAGCCAGAGTTCCTGGGGACAGTGGAGACCAGGGCTGAGTGGTCAGTGAGGCCTGTGGGCACAGGGACCTGGAGCCACCTAGGGGCGGCGGAGCCATTGGTGGCCCCGGCCTGTGGCAGATACCCTTCCAGTCGGCCTTGCTGGCCCAGCCTGTGTGCCTCAGA